TCTCGATGAAAGACATTAATTTCTCAATGTTAACAAGCTATAATATGAGGAAGCGATGCGGTCAGCGAACCAAAAGACAGTAGAGAGTTAACACCTTAGTGCTACCTTTAGTGATCACTAAGGAAGTAACAACTCCGAAGAAGCTTACAAAATCTTCAGAGGAAGCGCTATTTCCTAGGTGAAACACGTAGCTTAGATCAGGAGGAGAACAGCCAAACTATTCTCCATTGGGTTATGGAGAACAGCCTATCCTTTAAGCTGCGAAGGAATCAGGCAAAAAAGGAGCACGAATAATACCCTAATGAACCCTCAAAATCAGCTAATCGCCGTCTCATTACAGGAGTTTACCACAGCTACCGGCTGAACAAAGAACTTCGGCTGGAGGAAACAATCAGAAAGATCTATTACGCAGCTGAAAGGGCAACTGACGAACAGTATTAAACGGAGTGCGTCAGTTGTGCATCCTCAATGGAGAGGCCAACGGTGCCACATTCGCACCTGAGGAAGAACGCCTCAAACAAGTGGGCTGAGCATTTTCAGCCGCTGCCAAACACGACGTCCAGATTCGCCACTTCTAGTCGTTGTCTGACAACATTAAAGGTTAGTTCATATCTACACACGAAACTATAAACCTAAAAAGTCTTCCTTCTAAAAAGTGACGAGGTTCTGCAGGGTGGATCGAATTTTTTCAGATTTAATTAAGTATGAACAAACGGAATCGAGACAACCCGAATACCTTGATTCATCAAATGCGCATCTGCACACGCCTCTCTGAAGACTGCAAGTGTGAAATAATATATTTTAAGTGACCATCTGTATCAATAATCGTCACATCATCAATTTGTCAGGAAACTTTCAGGAACTTTCAGGAAACTTTTTCACTGGATTGACCTGCGAAGGCTAAGGTAGGCAGTTGATGAGAGACTCGCCCAAATCAAGCAGGCTCTGGATGGCGTACTCCTGCCCAGATCGAATTTTCACTATCTTATGAGCATTGAGCAATGCCGACGATTAGAGTCGCCTTTCTTTAACACTTCACATAACTTTAAAGTTCCATTCGTTTTGTATATTAAATGATAATCAAGAGAATATTAAAATGCTATATCATTCCAGAGTTACATCATCATCATCCATCGCCACCTCTCTTTTCCAGTCGCGGATGCAAACAAGTCAGACAGAGCTTTCAACGTTCCTGATAATGTGCCAGAGTCTGAGCTTCGGCAGAACATAACTGGAGTCTCGAAGAGACTCCTTCTATATATTTGCACCAGGTTAATCTTGGCCATCCCCTGGCCCTTTTGCCGGTCGGTTTCACAAGAAACAGTCGCTTAGATTTCCTTCCTGGAGGCATTCACAACAAACGCTAAACCATCGCAGCTGCGACTTCTCAGTCTGGAGAAGCAGAGGCTGTAGACCAAGGTTCTCACGGATGTCGGTATTCCGGAC